CCCCATTCTGGGAGGTTCTCAGGAGTTGGGGAAGACAAACCCCATTAGAGCAAAGTGTGACTCTGAAGAGGATCTTGTCCCACGGCTCCACACTCTGTACCAGCAACCCCCATCCACACCTCGCCAGCCTGTAAACCCTTGCTCTAGAACAAGCACACCCAGCAGTCCCACAGGGGCTTTGCCACATCCCGATGTGGAACTCAGGAAACTCTGGGCAAAGCAGTGCCATCTTCATGCAAATGAAGATGGTAAACGGTTTTCACACCACAGCCAGGAAGTGACTCATTAGCAGCCAATCAGTAGACTTTTGTCTAAAAGAACGCTCTTCAAGATAGTACAAGAAATGCATTTTTTCGGGAGTGGAGGAGGTGGAAATGGTTGAACCAGTTTGGATGCTCAAATCCAGGCATTTCCACTCTTACATACTTAACAAATGTCTGCTGTGTTCCCTCAAAGGAGGGGCAGGGTCCTGAGCCACATCCAGATTCAGGGAAGGCTGGAAGGCCTGGTCCCGTGCCTCATAGGCTGCCCGTGAGAGCCAGCGCCAGGTTGGAGGTTACGCTCCCCGTCCTGGCTGATGTTGGCTGGGATGGGGCTGTCTGGAGAAGGGCCCAAGGCTGAGGCACAAAGACCCCGTTGGCCTCTTCCCTCACCTCAGGCAGCCTGTGGCATTGAAGAACACCTCAGGGTCCACCGCTTCCCGGGTCATGTTGCTGTTGCCATCGCACCAGCCGGAGAAGGGGATGATGACACGGTCGGCCAGGACAGGCAGGGCATCGGCAATGAGCTCCTCCTTCAACTCGTCGGTGGAAGACAGGTTCCAGAGCAGCCCTGGGGGTCGCACGAAGACCATCAACCCAACATGCGCCAGGCTCAGGAAGCCCCGGGGACCAAGGTACCACGCCCAGCCGGGGCTCGGGCAAGTGGGCGCTAGTGAAACGTCACCTTCCAGGTAGACCTGGTCTATCAAATCTATTGATGATTGTTTCATGATCCCATTTCTCAAAGTCCCAACTAGACTGCAGGTTCTTTGAGGGTAGTGAGCATCTCAGAGTTCTCTATCTAGGTCAAAATTATGCACATGTGATCAAAAAACATTTGATTGATCAGTGGTTTTTTTTTTTTTTTCCTTTATGTCTTTTTTCGTGACCGGTAATGGGATCACAACCCTCGGTGTCGCGCCCGCACCGCGCTCAGCCAGTGAGCGGACCGGTCTCTATATGGGATCCGAACCCTTGGCGGGAGCGCCACTGCGCTCCCAAGCACTGCACTCTACCGAGTGCGCCACCGGGCCGGCCTGATCAGAGGTTTTTAATAGAAATTTTAGCAGGCAGGATCTTCTACTGTTCTCTATTTTCCACCTGAAAGTCATTCTAGATATATTCATCAGTTGTTACTTTGTACAAGATCTCATCTTCTCAGTCCAATTCGAGGACTTCATCATGACGTCTATCTCTTGTGCCCCCTACCCTGAGTGCTTAGCATATTTTTTGAACACAAGGTAGGTGCTTAAGACCTGTTAATACCTGCCCCCACCAGCCTCGCTCTCTTCTCCATCATCTGCAAATCCCAGGGACTGCTGAATATGGATCCTGCCTGGACCCAGCCTTCCTCCACTTGCCCTCTAACCTCAAAAACACAGTGACCCTGGTGGGGGTGTACACCACCCAGGTCACCATCTGGACACCACTACTCTGACCAAGGCCAGTGCCATTGGGCTCCCAGGACATTAACCTAAAGTCTTCACAGCTGTGCCTTGGCCCAGCCTGGAGGTGCTGGCCTGTCCCCTAGCATGAGGCCAAAGCCAGCGGTCCTGCGCTGCTCCCCACCCTGGCCCTTCACAGCTGGGCGACCTACCGGTCAGTTGTTTCTGGATCTCAGTGCTCCCCGTCCTCCTCAGGAGGTTGACGGCCTCACGGATCCCGTTCTGCCTCCGGGTCTCCAGCTTGTTGGTGGTGCTCCTGAACACCAGGTTGCGCAGGGCCCCCGCCGCGGCCTGCTGGACGTTCTGGTTGGGGCTACGGAGGAGGTCCACCAGCTTACAGATGCCTCCCAGCTGATAGACCTGCCAGAAGACAGCCACGCAGTCAAGGGAGTTCAGGCTGATCTAATAATTCTCCACTCAAAGCGTTTTTATCTCATACCAAAAAATCTACTTCCAGTTCAGAAACATCCAAGTCCTCCAGTACAAGTAAGCAGTGTAAAGTAATGGTAACTGACCCAGACCAGGAGCCAAAAGACCTGGGTGCCAATCCTAGCTCCCCCACATCCTGGCAGGAAGACCCTCAGTGAGTCGCTCCTCTTTCCTGAGCCCTATCCCTATTTTCCTCCTCTGGAACATGTCAGTGAGGACCAGATGAGAAAATGGATACAAATACACCTCAAAATCCTAAAGCAGAACACAGATGTAAGGGAGATGCTCCCATGGAAACCCTTTCTCCTATGGAAGAAACTTTCATGCAAACTCATCCTGGACTCCAGGAAACCCATTTATGGCACTATATCCTTAGGCTCAACTGCAGAACCCTGTAGGTGTCCTGCTTGCCAGCCAAACTGGGGAGGCATGAACAAGCCCTGTTTTATACCATAAGATGCCTGGAGAGTGGGGAGGATGTAAGGGAGATGCTCCCATGGAAACCCTTTCTCCTATGGAAGAAACTTTCATGCAAACTAATCCTGGACTCCAGGAAACCCATTTATGGCACTATATCCTTAGGCTCAACTGCAGAACCCTGTAGGTGTCCTGCTTGCCAGCCAAGCTGGGGAGGCATGAACAAGCCCTGTTTTATACCATAAGATGCCTGGAGAGTGGGGAGAGGGAGGGAGGGAGGGAGGGAGGGAGAGAGAGAGAGAGAGAGCAGTCATGCTCTCTAGTGTCATTTGAGAAGGGATTTCTGCTGAACCTGTGGCTGTCACTGAAGTGCCTCTTCCATGGCCAGTGGAGGAAATGCATCTATTTGCCTAATATCCACTCGACCAGAAGGCTTTGCTCTCCGGAAGGTTAGGATGCTCAACTCTGACCTTAGGCAATGCCAGGCACATTCCTCACCCTTGGAAGCTGGCAGGGTGAGAAGAAGCCAACAGCAAATGCCCCCACCCATTTCTAAATGCAGGTCAGGCTGTCATGCCCAGGTCCTGCCCTGGCCTACCAGGAAGGAAGGTGTGCAGACAGTTACCTGTTGCTTGGCAGACTCATCCTGGAAGCAGGTGTGCTGGATGTAATAGGCCCCAATGGCCTGGTACTTCTCATCCTGAGAGCTCAGATATTGCACAGCCTTGGGGATGGTCAGCCCACTGCACTCAATGTCCTCACTGCAGATCCTGCAAGGAGTGGGCAGGGGTTACAAGGTGGGCTGGGAATGCTAGCAAGGGGGCTCAGGATTCCTCATTGCACTCCTGAGCTGCCACATCCTGATCTTCCCTCAGGAGAGCCAGAACAAGGCAACCCCAGGCCCACGTGGAAAACATCCCTGTGGAACAGCTCCTCCAGAGGAGGAAAAGGCTCACAGTGGATTTCCCCCACGTGAGAACATTGACTGTGGTGAGAGCCTGATCATGGGTTAATGTCCAAGCAGGTAAGTTATCTCTGCACTGAGAAAACATCCCACCCTATTCCTGGGGGGAAGCTTTCCACCCACGCTGCTGTCTCTCATGTGTGTGCCTGGTATTGGGAAAATGGTAGAGAATGGCCCACGGGCCTCTCTGTCCATCCATCTGAACATCCATCTGTCCCTCCCTCCCCAAGTCCAATTGGCTCTTCTTACACAAAAATTCTCACATCTACTCCTTCCTCCCATCCTCACGGCCACCACTTTCTTACTGATCATGATCACTCTCCTGGGGATGGCAACGGGGACCCCTGTAACTGGCTCTCTTCTCAAGCTCCCCCGTCCAACATTTTACATGCTTTTTCCAGATAAGTGGTCCTAGAACCCTGTTCACGATGCTGTTCCCCAGCTCCGAAACTGTCAGTGGTTCTCCATTCTGAAGGTTTAGGTTCAAACTGCTTAGACTGACATCCAAGGTCATGCGTTAGGTGGAACCATAGGAAATGGCAGATAGTCTATATTTTTTGAGCCACAAAACCAGAAATTTCATGTTTTCACCTAATGACCGGCTCCATTGTGTCCTCTTGCATATGGCCCAGCTCCTAACAAGGGTCTGCTCCAGCAAGACCACTCTCTTCACAGCGCCCTGACCAGGTCTCAGGCATCCAGCCCCCATGGTGTTGAGTCACAGGCCATCTTTCCACCTGACCATGACCTGGTTCCCAACAGAGATGGAGAGTTCCTCAAGGGCAGGGGCAGGCCCTTCTGTGGCACCCAGCCCTGCCCCACTAGATGCCCTTCAGCATTCACAGAGGAAGCCCTCTCCTCATCCGTACTAGACTCACATTTTGCCATAGTAGGTGCTCAATAAACAGTCATGGTTTTAGCTAGCAACCCAGCTTCATTTCTGGAAAAATCACACAAGGGGCAGAGGTCTCTGGGATTGGGTTAGTAGCTCCCCTGCCTTGCATTGAGAGAATGTCACTCTGCATCCTCCAGTGAAATGTCATCTTTAAATGGCTTGTCACTCATACTCCCCATATCTCACGTAGACCCTCCAACAAGGGGCAGAGGTCTCTGGGATTGGGTTAGTAGCTCCCCTGCCTTGCATTGAGAGAATGTAACTCTGCATCCTCCAGTGAAATGTCATCTTTAAATGGCTTGTCACTCATACTCCCCATATCTCACGTAGACCCTCCAACTCAGGGCCTCTGGTTGGGGCAATAAGCCGGGGCCAGATCCTGCCCTGATCAGTCTCCAAGGGAAAGAGGTTTCTTAGTCCTTCTCCAAATCATCCTAAATATTCCTTATGGCCTTCAATAACTAGGAGAGGTCCAGCTTCATAAGGGGGTTCTGCTTATTTTCAGAACAGTGTGGTACCAGTAGGGAAGATCACAGGATGCAGAGTCAGCTGTGTGGCCTTGGGCAAGCTACTTAACATCTCTGTGCCTTGTGTCCTCAGGAATACTAGCACCTGCCCGGAAGGGGTTGTGACAATTAAAGATGAAGAATGCAAAGCCTAGGGCTCTATGAAAAGTAGTTAATCGTGTAGATCCAGGACAGCTCTAGGCTGACCTGTTTGTGGCTGTGTCCCCTGCACTCAGCACAGAGCCTGCCGCGTAGTAGAGGCTCAGTAAATGTTTGCTAAGTAAGTGAATAATCATGACCATTAGGTGGTGATAAAGGACAGTTCAAAGGTCCATGGCACTCTGAGCCCTGAAGGGCAGGCTCAATGTCACGCATGACACCGTAGCCCCATGACACCTGTGCGTATGGCTCTTTACAGGACACCCCATTTGGTCTCCTTCATTCCCACTGGGCAACGGCCCTTCAACATTTATGTTCTGTTCCTTTGCACTTGCTCATGTCCCTCATTTTTTATGTCTATTTGTCCTGTTTGTCCTTAGGACTTACCATCTTATAACATAACCTACGATCCATTCTATTCCCACCATCTACACCAGGGCGCATTCCTTTGCTATTTCACAACATGGATAGAGATCTGCATGCCTGAGATCAGAGGTTCTCAAACTCTGTGTGAGTCACAATTACCTGCAGGGTGTGATGAACACACATTGCCGGGCTCCTCTTTCAGTGTTTCTGAGTCAGGAGGTCTGGGTGGGGCCCAAGAATAAGCATCTCTAACAAATTCCCAGGTGACGTTGCTGTTTCTGGTCAGAGGAACTCACTTTGAGAACCACTGGCCCAGCTACCTTTTCTAATCAGCTTCCCTCTGTTCATAACCTGTGACACCTCTAAAACCTACATACTCAGTGTCTGGGTTCTGTCTTCCCTTCACACTGAGAATTCCCTGAGGTCAGGAGCCCATTGGGCCAGGTACTACCCAAGGCAGGGTCAACAAACTCCCCAGGGACAGAGGCTATGTTTCTCCCCTCATCCAAGGAGTCCACTGCAGAATGCAGCCAAGCTAATGGTTTACCTCTCACCTGGCCCCCGCCGGGCCCCCCACCCCAGCCTAGCAGCACTCACTTAGAGCTGGCCCTTGAGTGGCCAAAGGACATGTCCTTGTTGCAGGAGATGGGCGGGACACACACTGGGTCCTGCTTGGAAGCACAGGAGGGTGGGCGCACTGGGCATTTCTTGACTGCCTTCTGACCACTGCAGGTGCTGTAGAAGCTATAGCGGTTCTGGGTGGTCTTGTGGCCCTTGCTGCCCAGTGTGCCCTTGCGCAGGGTGCCCCGTGGGTCGCAGTAGAGGTCCGGCTCACTGCGGCTCGCTTTGATTTTCTGCATGAAGCAGATGTCGCTGCCTGCGCCGGTGGTGTTATAGCTGCCCCGGGGGTAGTGCCGGCTCCAGTTCTCCATCTGGCTGTAGGAGCTGAAGCGCCTGTTGTCAGGCTCTCGCTTGAGGGTCCCGTTGTAGATCTGGCCAGGGAAAGAGAGAAAGGCTCAGTCAAGGTTCTTGATTAGGGATCCTAGATCCAGCTGACCTTGTGATGCAGCCTTTCCCCGGCCCCCATAATAATGCTCATAGAATCCCAGAATGTTCAGAGTGGAAGGAACCTTAGCCATTAACTGATATTACTTTCCAAACTACAGGTTGTGACCCATTATGGATTATGGAATCAATTTAGCAATTGTGACCATCACTGAAAAAATAGAATAGAATAATATATCCTGGCATCTAAAACACCAGAGTGCAGGGCAGGAGGTAAGACACCCACTATCGAGTGAAGCAGTGTGTGGGTACTGGGTTGCAGCCTAAAATGTAGTTCTTACTGTGGGTTGCAGTCACAGAAGATTTATACTGATCTGGTCCCACATGTGCACAGTCCAGGAGGGGAGCTGGATGCCCAGAGAGGAGAGGGGCCTTCCAATAGTCACTTGGTGAAGGAAGGGGGAAACTGGGACCGGAGCCTGGGTCTCCAAGCCCTCGCCCCCCCACCCTGACACTAGCAGCTTCTGACACAGCCAGCTTTCCTTGGTCAGTTGTACTCAGCACATAGAAACTTCTATGCTGGTCAGGACTATTTTAATTGTTATCTTCCGCTAAACTCCTCAGCTTGTCTCCCCTCTGCCAGGGCAAGAAGCAAACAGACCCTCTCTGAGAAAACTCTCAAAGCCGAAGAGGGACAGTACTCCTGCTCCTTGGGCCCTCTGTTACAGGCACCGTCAGATAGGGGCCCACCTGGACACAGGGAGGCAGGCCCGGGGACTGCAGGGTGGGGCTTTGTAGACAGGCTGGCGGGGGAGGAGCTGGACAGAGGCTCAGTCCGACAGAAAAACATACAAGGGACAATGAGCTGCCCCCAGGGCTCTGTGTGAGCCCAACTGGGGAGCCAGCCTCTCTGGGAGGAGGCTACAAAGCTGGAGACTTGCTGGGAATTAGCTCTGGAACAGAACTGTCCAAGGAGGACTTTCCCAGGAGCTCACAAGCCGGTGGGTCTGGCCTGTTTGAACTTGTTCTCAGACTAGAGGATCAACATCGAGCCTGATAAAATGTCTCCACACAGGTGCTGACTTGGGACTCACCTTTACTGGGATTAGCCAGGGCCAAGTCCAGCAGCCCAGAGCCTGCCTGCCCCACCCGTGAGTGTATGTGTGTGAGTGTGTGTGTGTAGGGGAGGTCGTTAAGCAACTGGGTAATTCCCCTCTACACCAGATCTAGCCACACAAGGCTGGGGCTTTCATCTCTGCAGAGAGTCGGAACCACCCATGGTTCGAGCTCCCAGAGAGACTGGGTGTCAGAAGCTACCAGTCAGAAGTGGAGTCCAAAACTCAGAAGCCACAGACTATTAACCTGGGCAATGGCATGCTCACCCCCTTCACCCCCACACACCCAGCTGTGCAATTTCCTTCTCTTAACTGGGTCGAACCAACCTACCCCAAAGGTAACTGGTGTGTGGGTGCTGGGGGAAACATAATCGGACAATCACAAGGCAGAGCAAAGAGGAGCTGGGCAGTTTTCTGAGCGTTTGGACATGGGATGTGCACCTTGCAGATTACTTGCAAAATATGCAATTAGGCCTCCACGGTTTTAGCCAATGGCCACGCCCTCCATTCTCCTCTCAGGAAGGGAGGTGGCAGATGCCACTTTGGAGGGAAAGCCAAGCACTCCCAAAGGGCAGGCTAAGCCTTAAATGGAAATACAACAAGAAGCTCCCTTGTTCTCAGTAAATGACACGCCTGGACGTCATCTCAGACACCTGATGAGAAGTCAAGACGCCCATCCTGGCCCAAATCCAACAAAGATGTGATCATGCTGATTACGCCTGACGGAGGCTTTGAGCTTTGCTCTCCTGTGCTGGGAACGGGGCAGCAGGCAGCCTTCCAAGTCTCAGCGAGGGTGGGCTGCCCACGGGGAATGGATGCTGGCTGCACCCTCAGGGGAGTGGGCGAGATGGGGAAGGCAGAGACGCCCCAGTGGAACTGCACTTCCCACCCCCCCATCGGCCACACTCCAGTGGTGTCACCCATCCCTGAGAACCCCACCCCAGCTCCTGGTGTCACAGTGCTGGTGGGCTGTGTGGCCTGAGTATGGTGTCTGAGGACAGCTATGGATGACTCTCCCTCGTCACCATGGCCCTGAACTGTCACCTTGACAAGCAGGAGAAAAGCTTCCTCTCAGCCAGACTCCATCCTCCTCCAGCTCCTTGAGGGGTCTGGGGTCCCCTCCAAGGCTCAGAGGAGGCAGGATGCCACCAGCCCTTCCTGCACAGATGGCCTGTAACCCAGCCAGAGCCGGCAACTGAAACAGCATCTTAGGAATCCAGGTGCATTCCTCTAGCTCACTGGGCTGAGACCTGTGTGGGAGGAAGAGCTGGGGGTCAAGAATACAGACTCTGGGGACAGACTGCCCTGGCCATGTCAATTGCTTCATGGGTGGCCTTGTTACTTAAGCCCAGTGTGCCTCAGTTTCTCCATCTGTAAAACTGGGATTATAATTGTACTCAATGTATAGGGTTGGGGAAGAATCCAATGAACTAATGTTTGTAAAGCACTTAGGACCGTACATGACATAAAGTGTTTGTTCAGTAGAGACTTCTGTATCCCTCTGACTCAGATTGGAGACGGGATGACTACTTTTAGGACTTGGCTGAGGTAGCCAAGGACACCCACGTCATATCTAAAGGAGCCACCACTTTAGGGGAGTGGGCGAGATGGGGAAGGCAGAGACGCCCCAGTGGAACTGCACTTCCCACCCCCCCATCGGCCACACTCCAGTGGTGTCACCCATCCCTGAGAACCCCACCCCAGCTCCTGGTGTCACAGTGCTGGTGGGCTGTGTGGCCTGAGTATGGTGTCTGAGGACAGCTATGGATGACTCTCCCTCGTCACCATGGCCCTGAACTGTCACCTTGACAAGCAGGAGAAAAGCTTCCTCTCAGCCAGACTCCATCCTCCTCCAGCTCCTTGAGGGGTCTGGGGTCCCCTCCAAGGCTCAGAGGAGGCAGGATGCCACCAGCCCTTCCTGCACAGATGGCCTGTAACCCAGCCAGAGCCGGCAACTGAAACAGCATCTTAGGAATCCAGGTGCATTCCTCTAGCTCACTGGGCTGACCTGTGTGGGAGGAAGAGCTGGGGGTCAAGAATACAGACTCTGGGGACAGACTGCCCTGGCCATGTCAATTGCTTCATGGGTGGCCTTGTTACTTAAGCCCAGTGTGCCTCAGTTTCTCCATCTGTAAAACTGGGATTATAATTGTACTCAATGTATAGGGTTGGGGAAGAATCCAATGAACTAATGTTTGTAAAGCACTTAGGACCGTACATGACATAAAGTGTTTGTTCAGTAGATACTTCTGTATCCCTCTGACTCAGATTGGAGACAGGATGACTACTTTTAGGACTTGGCTGAGGTAGCCAAGGACACCCACGTCATATCTAAAGGAGCCACCACTTTGCCCCACTGAATGCTCCCTCTTTTCCTGTTCCCCCTAAAGTTGGGAAGCTCGCAGAGTCCAACTCTTCATTTTGTAGTCAAGGAAACTGAGTCCTAAAGAGTGACTGAACCAAAGTAAAGCAATATAAGCCCAAGATCCAGGGCCTCAAAGGACTTAATCTGCAGAGAGACATGTTTCTCCACTCGGGAGACCAGTGGGACTCTTGGGGGCCCAGTGCAAGGTGGGCCAGGGAGGTCGGCTTTTTAGCCAGGAACCTCCCCTGGCCAGTCCCTGCTCTGCTTACCCTTCTGATAATGACCTAGGTCTTGTAACTCATCTACCTTTCTCCCCATCTCCCCTCCTTCTTGGAGAAGTGTGGAGTTTTAACCCCCCACTGAATGCTCCCTCTTTTCCTGTTCCCCCTAAAGTTGGGAAGCTCGCAGAGTCCAACCCTTCATTTTGTAGTCAAGGAAACTGAGTCCTAAAGAGTGACTGAACCAAAGTAAAGCAATATAAGCCCAAGATCCAGGGCCTCAAAGGACTTAATCTTGCCAGCTTTCTCTTGAGAGAGCCATTCAGTCTGAAGAGACCTCCAAATCTGGAAGAGCTCCTGTTTGACCAAGATCATTGGACGGGACAGTAACTAACCATTCAGGCAGAGATGGTGTCCTTCTGCCTTTCCATCTAAGAATCCTTTCTGACTCCACCCTTTGCACTCCCACTGCCCGGGCCGTGGCCCTAGCTCTAATCGGTTAACCACTGGGCAACTCCTGTGCCTCTCACCAGCCTCCACCCAGCCCCTGGGACTCTGGCCCCTGCCATGCGATGCCATCACCTTGACCTTCTGCAGGCAAAGCTTTCATTAGCTTTTGCCTTGGTGGAGAGTCTACAGTACCTCTCTCCTTACATGACAAACTCATCAGCCTGGCCCCACCCTGCTGTCCAGCCATCTCTTCCCCTCCCAGCATTCCCCATGACATCAGCCACATCCCGGCCTCCCTGCTTCTGCTCAGACTCTCCGCCACCCTGGCCAGCGTGCCTTGCCCACCTCTTCTCAAATCCTGCATTCCTCCAAGTCTCTTCACAAACCTGCTTTGACCCAACCCAAATACCGACAGTGCCCAGAGTTGGGATTATTTGCCCTGTGGTCTTGTTTGTCCTCTAGTTGCTAATGTAGATTTCTGTCACTTCTCCAAGCTCTCCAGGGCGGAGCTGCCCTTCATTGTGCCTAGAACAGGGCTGGGCTCACAGCAAGCGCTCATTGAAAGGGGTGCTGTGACTTGACCTAAGAATGTGTGCTGGGGTGAAGATTCAAGCTGCTGATTGGCAGTGGGGTTGCCGTGGCCTCCAGGGAACAGTGAAGCCACCATAAACAAAGTTAGATGCTAGGAAGGCAGGAGGGTTCTAGACAGGGCCAGCCAATCTATGAAGGAAGCACAACATGGGTTCAGTCTGTGATGGTCTAGGATACTTCCCTCTTCCTCCCAACCCAAGTGACAGCAGCAGGTTGACTGAGCCCAGAGAGTTCCATTCAAGGTCTGG